AGCGCCACTTCCGGCTTTTTTCTTTTTGCTTATGTGGTGCTGAGGAATCGAACCCAGGGCCTCCAGCATGCAAGGCAAGCTCTCTACCACTGAGCTACCTTCCCAGCCCCTAAATTTTTTTTTTGAAAAGGGATGGTTGGGAGAAATTTTTCTTATCTAATATACAACCTTCACAAAAGGAAAACTAGTGGATTTATCTTGTTCACTTTGTTTTGTTTAGGCATCTTTTCATTGGCTCATGCTTCTTTTTCTTTTGACTATTTGATGGGTTTTATATTATTTGTTGAAGAATGATTCTCCCTCATCCTCTGCAAACATTCCATAGGTGATAGGAGGAACTATGCTTCTGCCAAACTTTCTGAATTACTGCCGGAGGAAGTAGAAGCTGAAGTGAAAGCTGCTGCAGAGATATCTATGGGAACGGAGGTTTCTGAAGAAGATATTTGCAACATTCTGCATCTTTGCACACAGGTAAACTACACCTGTATAGAATATGTTGTCTTTCCAGCTCTGTTATAATTGTCTGATGGCAATGATGATTTTTATGCTCTGTTTACCTGAAAGCAAATATGAGGGTATTCAGTCACTACCTCATCTGATGCCATCTTAAGTGTCTGTGTAGTTATGGGGGGAATACAAAAGTTGAGTAATTTGTATGATTAGCATTATTGTCTGAATAGTGACCTAATAAAATTTACAGAACTATAAAAGCTAGCTATTCAAGGAGGCTGAGATTGGAGAATCCATCTTCAAAGCCAACCTCAGCAGACAAATCAGACTTACCTCCATTTAACTATCAAAAAGCAGAAGTGTGGCTCTCGGTAGGGCCCCAAGCTTGAGCAGAGAAGCTTGGGAAACCATATGGCCCAGAGTTGAAGCCCCAGTAACGGCACCAAAAGGTAACATTTAAAAGTGTGACACGTTTGAATTTTATATTTATAGGCCATGATCTCTTATCTCAAAATTTAAAGATGTAGTTATCTAGTAATCCTAGAGAAGAGGAAAAAATAGAATTGTATGACTAACATACTATCCGTAGAAAATACTGTAAATGATTGTATACACTATCCTAATAAAATCCTCAGGATATTTTATAGGAAACAAACACCAAACAACTGTTTTCAAGTTGTTTTTATTGAGACAGGATCTCACTGTGTGCCTAGGCTGGCTTGAACATCTTAAGTTTAAATGATCCTCTGTCTGAGCCTTCTGAATAACTGGGACTGTAAGTTATGGCACCTAGTTGAGCTATTAGAATCCAGTGTTTTATTAGAGTTGAATTCTACACTGATTTTTAATTTTATTCCTTATATTAGGTGATTGAAATCTCTGAATATAGAACCCAGCTGTATGAATATTTGCAAAATCGAATGATGGCCATTGCACCCAATGTTACAGTCATGGTTGGAGAATTAGTTGGAGCACGGCTTATTGCTCATGCAGGTAACAGTTTTGATGTAATATATAAGTGAGTATTTGAAGTTTGGTGTTTTCAATCTTCCACAGTCCTTACTAAAGACTAAGGACCAAGTGTTCAATGATGATGTTTATTTGTTTGCCTGATTTCCCTTTGGATAATGAAGGCATCTTTAGTCACTACCTCTTCTGAGACACTTGTGCTCCACTGTCAAAATGGTAAAATTAGCATTTTTTTTTTTTTTGGCCTGGATTGACTTCAAACTGAAATTCTCAGTTCTCAGCCTCTTGAGTAGCTAGGATTAATATAATCAGCTTAACTTTTATTTTGTCATAGACATCTACCACACATAACTTTTGTTGTGTGAAGAGCCCCAAAGCACTTGGATTTTCAGGGTATTCAATACAAGATTCCTGTTATTGAGGCTATAGTATTATATTATATCTAATATTTTTATATTATCATCTAATATTTATACACAGCATTTTGAAATTAGGTAACCTGGACATACAATCTTTGTAACTGTTTTCTTTTGTAGGTTCTCTTTTGAATTTAGCTAAACATGCAGCTTCTACAGTTCAGATTCTTGGAGCAGAAAAGGCACTGTTTAGAGCCCTCAAGTCTAGGCGAGATACCCCTAAATATGGTCTCATCTATCATGCCTCACTAGTAGGCCAGACAAGTCCCAAAAACAAAGGAAAGGTGAGTTTTTCTGAAGTTGGGCCTTTTCTTTTTATATTAAAAAACCTTCACTTTGTTTTTATTCTGTAGTTAATTGAATGTCTTACCTTTTTGTTGTCTGTTTTGGGTTAGAAGATGAAAAAGGTTTTTTTTTGCACCCTCAAATTTAGAAGAAATGGTTTGTCTTACTACAAGCATGTGTCTGTGTTGTTGTATGTGTGTGTACATACCAGTATTGGGGCTTGAGTGCAGGATCTAGGCACTCTCCTTTAGCATTTTCGCTCAAGGCTGGTGCTCTCTCACAGTAGTCACGGCTCCATTTCCAGCTTTTATGTGGATATAAGAATGTCACTAACTTTTGCCTGAGCTGGCTTCAAACTGCAATCCTTAGATCTCAGCCTCTTGAGTGGCTACGGTTATACAAATGAGCCACCAGCATTCTCAATTATTGGAATTGAATTACTTTCTAGTACTTACCTGTGGCTCGTACACCTAATATTATATATGATAAAGATAATCTACTAACCACTTACCAGTTATCAAATAATAGCATATACACTGGTGGGCTGAATGTATAAGTAGACTTCACTGAATCCTTTAATAACTAGATGTAGAGATGTATTTTGTTAGTGGCAAAAGTGAGGTTTAGACAAATAAAGATTCTGAAATTAAATAGATTTTAGTTCTTTAGTTTTCTTTGCTGGTCCCAGGGCTTGAAGTCAGGGCCTGGGTGCTGTCTGCTAGCCTCGTTTTGTTCTAGGCTAGTGTTCTGCTACTTGAGCTCCAGGGCCACTTCTGGTTTTCTGGTTGTTAATTGGAGATAAGATTCTCAGACTTTTCTGCCCAAGTTGTCTTCAAACCATGATCCTCAAGTCAGCTTTCTGAGTAGCTAGGATTACAAGTTTGTGGCATTGGTGCCCAGCTTGGATTTCAGTTTTGTAAGATACATAAACTAATGGTTAAACAAAATTCATGGCACAGTAGTGGAAATAAAATGAAACCAAAAGGGGCTGGAAAGGTGGCTCAGTGGTAGAGTGCTTGCCTTGCATGCACTCGATTCCTCAGCACCACATAAGCAGAAAAAGCGCTAACCTTGAGCTGAAGGGCTGGGGGACAGTGCCAGGCTCTGGGCACTGAAACCAAAAATATTTTAAGACTTAAACTTACTCTGGACAACCTTGAGATAGAAAAATGAATACTAAAACATGCTGGGCGCCGGTGGCTCACTCCTATAATCCTAGCTACTCAGGAGGCTGAGATCTGAGGATCGCGGTTCAAAGCCAGCCCTGGCAGGAGAGTCCGTGAGACTCCTATCTCCAATAAGCCACCAGAAAACTGGAAGTGGCACTGTAGCTCAAGTGGTAGAGCGCTTGCCTTGAGCTGAAGAGCTGAAGGACAGCGCCCAGGCCCAGGGTTCAGGCCCCACGACCGACCAAAAAAAAAAAAAGAAAAGAAAAAAATGAATACTAAAACATGCTTGG